ATCTATCTATCTATCTATCTATCTATCTATCTATCTATCTATCTATCTGGCACTCTGTGTGTGTGTGTGTGTGTGTGTTCCAGCATAACTCTGGAATGCCTAGAGCAATTTCAACCAAACTTAGTACACAGATGACTTACTCTCTGGAAACAAATGCTGTGTGGATAAGATACCCATAACACCCTTTGGTGTGTGTGTGTGTGTGTGTGTGTGTGTGTGTGTGTGTGTGTGTTCCAGCATAACTCTAGAATGCCTGGGCCGCTGAAATGAAAAGGACTATTAATTATATCTATAGTGTCAAGTCACAGTATTTTTGACAGTGATAGTGGGCATTTTGGATTCAAGTTCGGTTAAGATGTAGCCTGTTGTGTCTTAAAATGGCTTCTACTGTACAGCACAGTGGAATTGCCAGGTAACGGCTTCACAGTACTCCACAAGGGGGCTCCCTCTTAATACAGGATTGGGATAAATACATACCCGGGAGGGGGTCTTCCCATGTCCTTACCTGCAAGCTGCCCCCGTCCCCACATTGCTGCCAATCAGGGTAGTGGACTTTCTCAAGCTCAGGCAATTCTCCTCCTGGCTCCGGGGCACTGAGCTGGCCCGGGTGGAGACCAGCAGCCGCTCGTGGTGGTCTTCACTGCGGCTTCGTCTCAGGCGGTTGGCCGGCTGCTGCTCCCTCTTGGCTCGGCAGAGCTTGCTGATGAGACTCTGGGACACCACCTCATCAAAGCGCTGCCGGTGTTTCCTGGGGATGAAGATCCTGGGAACATGAGACCAGACCCGGGTTAGGGAAGGGGCAGGGGTTCACAGATTAACAGATTAACAGAGTTAAAAGGGGGCTTGTAGGTCATCTAGTCCACCACCCCCCGCAGGAGACTCTGCACCATTTGTGACAGATGGCAGTCCAGTCTCTTCTTGAAAGCTGCCACAACTTCCCGAAGGCAACTTTTGTTCCATGGGTTGATTGTTCTCACTGTTAGATAATCTCTCCTTATTTCTAAACTTAATCTCTCCTTGGTCAGTTTCCATCCATTATTCCTTGTGTGGCCTTCTGGTGCTTTGGAGAATAGCTTGACTCCCTCTTCTTTGTGGCAGTCCCACAAATACTGGAAGACTGCTATCCTGTCTCCCATGGTCCTTCTCTTCACTAGACCAGCCATGCCCAGTTCCTGCAACCGTTCATTGTACGTTTTAGCCTCCAATCCCCTCATCATCCTGGTTGCTCTCCTCTGCACCCTTTCCTGAGTCGAACATCTTGGCTGCTGCTCTCACAAAGACACATAATCCAAAGCAGCTCTTAGAGAAGCTCAGAAGAATAAGAAGAACACACGAAGAATGGTTACAGGAATTAGGTAACTCTAGTCTAATGAAAAGAAGGAGGGGGGGGGCATGATAACACTGTTCCAACATTTGAGGTGCTCCTACAAAGATGAGGGGTTCAAGCTATTTTCCAAAGGACAAAAGGCAAGACGAGAAGCAATGGATGGAAACTAATCAAGGGCAGGAGCCACCTGGAACTAAGAAGAAATTTCCTAATGGTGGGAGCAATCAGCCAGTGGAACAGAAGTTGCCTTCAGGAGTTGTGTGTGCTCCATCATTGGAGGCTTACAAAAAGAGACTGGACAATGATACAGGATCTTCTGCTCGAACAGCGGGTTTGACTAGAAGACCTCTGAAGTCCTTTCCAACTCTATTATTTTATGTTGTACTGTACATCCTTTCTTCTCCCAGACACCAGCAGTGTCCAGCCTGCGGGTTCGCCTGCATGGTGATCTGGCCACCAGGTGGATGTGACCCTCGAGGTTAGCCGAAGAAGAGCTAGCTGCTGGCACAGAGATGGGGCGACAATCTTGAGCCTCAGGTTGTTTTCAATCTCAAGCAGGAAGCGCAGAGAGTATGTGTGTTGGCCCATGTGGGTAACGCTGAAGTTTACAAAATGGTTGCAGAACGTGGCTGAACTCCCAGATGGTGATGGTGGGGTTTCATTACAGCCTGACAGCAAAGTCAGCTCCATGGCCCTCATCCATCCCACCGCTGAAGGCATCATTGTTGGTTTTGCTGCATGGGGGGTTCATGCCCAGGCCGGCCCTTCCATCTATGCAGAACAGCTGAGCACATGGCGCTACTTCTTCAGGGCTGGGCAGGGGATGTTCAGGGCGTCTATCACTCACAGCCCTGGCAGGTGAGTGAAGCCTCTAATGCACTGGTGAATTTCATTTTTTTACTGCAGGTTCTGTGGCTGTGGCTTGGTGGGCGTGGCAGGGGAAGGATACTGCAAAATCCCCATTGCCTCCCGATGGGACCGGGGAGGCAGAGATGGGGTGGGGCCAGCCAGTGGCGGCATTTGCCGGTTCTCTGAACTACTCAAAATTTCCGCTACTGGTTCTCCAGAACCTGTCAGAACCTGCTGGATTTCACCCCTGCTCTAATGTCTGGTCTCCAAGATATGTTCTCGAGGGAAACATAGCGCAAGTCATCTCTACAAGCAGAATGGGAAAACTCACCACAGTCAACTCACTGGGGCCAATTCGCCATGGCCAAATCACCAGGGGCCATTTCAACTATTCAATTTAATTATTTAAAATAATTTTTAAAATATTTTATTGTGTGTCATTTACATTTCATTTTGACCCTCATTTCTTTAATGATTCTATTCCACGATTGCTTCGATATTAGTGTAATTCTTGTTCCACGGTGTGTAGGCTCTGACGAGTTGGCTGCGGTGGTGAAATTCAATTTTTTTTACTACCGGTTCTGTCAGCGTGGCTTGGTGGGCATGGCAGGGGAAGGATACTGCAAAATCTCCATTCCCACCTTACTCTGGGGCCAGCCAGAGGTGGCATTTGT